CTCTCCCCCCCACCATGATAAGGTTACCCCCCCCCCCCCCCCTGATTCCCTCATGCACGCCCGCTGAGGTTTGATTTCAAATGGAAAAATTAATGGGAGAATAATAGCCTTGGGCCTTGCTCTCTTACACACACACACACACACACACACACACACACACACACACACACAGACACACACACACACACACACACACACACACCTGAGTTGGTCTGCAGGGGCAAACGAGAGGGGGGGTCACATTTAGATCCCTCCGCCTCACTCAGCCTGCCGTTCCATTGTGACACACACACACACACACACACACACACTAGGGACATTGCCTCCCCTTCGTTTACACCTTAGAGGGCTTAACTTTCAAATATTAGTACAGCGGCTGAGCGGATTTCAAATAAATAAATGAGGGAAGCGATGATTAGCAATCCTCCTGATAGTTGCACCGACGTGTTTCATATTCATTTTCACTTCCAGGAGAAGATTTCTGCAGAAACAGTGATTCTGAGAACTTTCCAAGCTTTTTAGTGGGACTCTTAAAACCTGGTGTGAGGAGTTTTATTTGTTATATATATATATATATATATATATATATATATATATATATATATATATAGTAGCTTCAACAGGAACTCAAAGCTCCTTGCTTGGATTTACAGAACAGATTAAAAATATATATAATTTAGCATAACAAAGTACATATTATGCTTTTATAGACAGCAGTAAAGATAAACGGCAGTTCTGAGTACCGCTGGCATAATGTTGGCAGCTATTAGATGCACACACACACACGCACACGAGATGTGCAAGTTTCACTGAGCTGATAAGGGGCCAAGCTGGTTGCAGGCATTATTAAATCAAAGTTAAGTTTTGTTGCTCTTAGGCTACAGCAACACAAGCAGAATGTGTGTGTGTGTGTGTGTGTGTGTGTGTGGGGGGGGGGGTCGGTTGTTAAAGAGTTTAAAAGCGGAAGAGGAGTCGGTGTAGAACCAGTATTGATGTCGGGGAAGCCCAGCAGCGCTTTCTGTTCAAACACCGGAGAGGGCCGACCTGCGCGAGCCGGCGAGGCGCGCGGGTGGCAGGAATACCCGCTCGCTTCCTGTTTCTCCTGACTTTGAGGAAATGTTTTTTTTACGGTGAACGAACTCCCAGCGCTCCTGTTCGCCTCACCACAGACACCTGCCTCAGCAAAACCATGAGAGGGAGAGAGAGAGAACTTTCCAGGCATTTTAGGAGTTTTCTATCTCTTCAGTGTATCCACCACTTTTTATCACAGATGACACTTTCACTCTTTTTATTCTTTCAGCTAAAAGCAGCAGGTGAAGGATACGAGTCAGTCGTCCTCATTCCTGACTATACAAAACACTTCCGTCTCTCTGACCGAACATTTGGGCAGAATGCAAAGTGTACTGGGTGTTAAAGAGCCTGAACCAGGAGGAAATCCATCCTTTTGAACCCGGGTCCAGAACCAAGACGGCGTTCCAAACCGCATACTTTTTCTTTCTACTTTACTACAGTTGCCTTAACAAAGTACGTACTTCTGCATGCAGTATGCTTTCAAATTTGGACGTACTACTTCCTCATAACACTGCTGAACTTTGACCCTCTCATCATGTCAGTGGAAAGTTAATTAGGAGCCTTTTTCCCCCGTGGAGGACACGCAAATTAAAAGCATCCAGGTGACAACAGTCAGAGCGAGTGACGTACTTTATAATATCCAAAAAGACGACTATTGGGGAGGTGGACGGGTCCAACTAACAGTATGTTCAACCAGAAGACCAGTGTTCTGCACCGCGTTGAGGTTCTATGGTAGTAGCTTCCAAACTGTTGGTTTAAGTTGTCTCAACCCAACTGTTGGTTTAAGTTGTCCCAGCATCCCTGTAGATGAAACCAATAGATTGTATTTCGTGACCATTTCACCAACTGCTGTGAGACTGTGTTGAGTCTTCACATACTATGTATTCGGACATGCATCTTTTTCTGGCGTATTAAACAGTACGAGTATCAGAACACACAGAGGATCTTTGACAGTCTACAGAGGAGTCCTGGGCTGTTTTATTTTGAGTCCCGACTCGTGACTCAAAAGTGTTAGATTACAACAATGTTACTAAAACATCGGCTGAACTTATCGTGCGCTCGCCTTTTGAGTATTCGAACGTGGAATGACATCATCCGAGGGGGCGGTGCAGCCTCAAAGTTCAGGAGACGCAGAGTTTCAAAAGGCTTCCAGCAGGTGGATAAAAAGCAGGTTTACGAGATACAGAGAGGAAAAACAAAGCGGCTGGTGAGAGGGCGTCTCGGGTGGAGTGATGGTGCGACACACTTCTAAAAAAGAAAGAAACCGAGCCACCGTCCTCGCTCGCCCGCGGGCAACATGTAGCATTAATTGCTGCCTCCACAGGGCCTGCAGACTGCACATCTATTGCTCGCATCAAAGAAAACCACACGCTGAACTTTATGAAATTTTTATTCAATGTGTTCACTTCTCTTCCCCCCCCCTCTCTTTCTTCCCTTTCCTATTCCCCACCTCGGCCTCCCCCTCTCCCCCCTTTTCTTTTTTTTTTTTTACATCTCCGCCACCAAACAGACAAGAAAGACTTCTCTCCGCCGTGTTTTTACGGCTCCACTTCCTTCCTGCCCAGGAGCACTGGAGTATCTCGTTAGTTCTCTCACAGCTAACATCTCTCCTCCATCTGCCAGGAGCAAAACCTGATCGAGGAGGGAGGGAAGGGAGAAAGGGGGGGGGGGGGACTACATCAAGAAGTTTGGTGGGTGAGATTCTCCGTGGAGCTAGGTGAGTCACTGTAATATCATTTAGCTACAGTAATTACACACACAAAGGAAACGAGATGAGAGGGTTTTCTCTCCCTGTGGACAATGTACACCGAAGGGCTTAAGTTTCATCAGAAAACTCAGCACAGATATACAAGTACATGCAAAAAAAATAATAAATACACATTGCAATATCATCGGTGTGATTTAGCACTGCCCTGATCTCCAACAAGAGGTTCATTTCTACTGTTCTTTTGCCCCGTGCTCGTATTGTGACAACTGAGCAAATCCAGTTACCATTGATGCACATTGCCTTCCCTTTAACTCTCTCTCTCTCTCTCACACACACACACACACACACACACACACACACACACACACACACAC